GCCCCTCCGCGCCCCGCCCCGGCCCGAACCCCCTTCCCTCTGCCCCTCCTGCCTCCATCCCTGCCCTACCCGCCAGCCCACAGCCCGTTTCTCCAGCCACTGTCTTTGCGCCGGGAAGGTCTGTAGCCTAATCCTGGGGGGTGCGCTGAGGGCCTCGTCCCTGAGTCCGGGTGGGCTCTGTGCGGGAGGGTGGAGAGCGAGCCCTGCCGGGAGGGGGTGTGGTGTGTGCGCCCCCGCCAGAGGTGGCCTGTGGGACCGTGTGCAGGATGCCCTGCGAAAGGGCCTGTGCGTCCACCTCTGGCGTGTCTACGGGTGGGCCATGGGCCCATGGCGGTGCATGGGTGCCCATGAGCATGCACGCGGGGGCACACCAGCCACCCGGGCTTGTCTTCGCCACCCAAGGTGTCTCTTGGGAAGTGTGGGCAAATCCTCAGCGAGGAAGCTCTGGGGCTGGTGGGGGCTTGGGCTTCTCCCTGGTGAGCAGAGCTGGGTTCTTGGGGCCACTGACCAACGGTTACTCTAGAACCCTTTACTGCATAGCTCTCCCGCTGCTATCTGGTTGATGAAGGCCCCTGTCGGTGACGGACTCCCTCTGGGAGTGTTCCCGCTGCAGTGCCCAGTTTCCACTCTGGGCCTTCCTGCCAAGCCCTTTGCTGCTGGGATGAATCAGACCACCTGCTGAAGGTGGCCACACCCAGCTCTGCAGGGAGGGATCTGTGAGGTGTGTCTCTCTACCTGGTGGCTAAGGTCCATGTTTAACAATCGGACAGTTTCCCCTCCTGACCACGTGGGTTTGCGATCCTGGTTCGGTTTTGCTGGAAGCAGGAGGCATCGCCCCCCTTAAGCGGGGCCTCCTGTGGACGCCACAGGCGTGGTCCAGATGGGGCGTCCTTGGTTGTGCCCCTTGGCACACACCAGGCGGCCTGTGCTCCTGTGCAGGAGCCGCATAGCAAGACCTGGGCTCTGACCAGGAGACCCAGCAGTCTCTTTGGTTGGGTCAGTCTGGAAGTTTCTGCAGAACTGGGAGCTTTTACTCAGCGACATTGGTTGACTGCTGCAGGTGAGGCTGGCCGCCCCTCCGAGCAGAATTGCAGCAGCAGGACAGTCCTGCACTGGCCACAGGGCCTTGGCCCTTCACAGCTTTGATTGGCATGAGTTGGGGCAGGAGAGAGAACATTCAAGTGTCCTCCACAGAACATCGTGGGTCTTGGCTACCTTTACCCTCCTGTCCTTCATCCTGGACTAAAACATGTTTCCAGAGGCTCTTTAGGGCGAAACCGGAGCCTTTCTTGTGGTGTTAAGGTAGGTGGGCATGCCGTTCTGGGCATTTAGAACGCAGACTCCAAACGTGTGTGTGTGTCTGGGCATGTGTGACCACGTGGGCGTGCATACCCTCCCAAAGACACTGAGGACAGGTGGTGGCTAGGTCCTAGGATGGCGTGAAGTTGGGAAGGATTGGGAAGTGAGACTAGGCTAACCTCTGGGGAGTCCCAGTGGCGTCCTGAGAGCCCCCACAGTACTAGACCCTAGGATACCTTGAGCGGAAGGCACTCCTGTTGGAAGGGGAAGAAAAGATTAACAATCATGCCAGGCAGTCCAGTGCTATCACATTTAGTCTTCGTAAAAGCCCCGCAGGGTGGGCATTTACTTCTTTCCTTCTGTTTTGCAGATTGGGGAAACTGAGGCTCAGAGAGGCTAGGTGTCCTCCTGCAGGCATGTACACAGGAAGGGGGAGAGCCAGGGTGGGAGCAGACTTCTTGCCCTGCCTGCTCCCTGTGGCTCCCCTGCCCATGTGGTCAGCTCCATCACTCCCTGCAAGGCCCCTTTCTTGGAGATGGGGGAGCCCTTCCTTCCGGCAGGGCGGGGCAGGCCGGGTTGTAGGAGGAATACGCAGTGGTTTCTGACATTTCTGAGCTGTCCCAGGTCTCAGTTTTGTCACCTGCCGCTTGTGGAGGTGGGACGAGGAAAGGAGTCAACGGACACAGGACACTGCCCCGCTCCCTGGGGTCTGTGTCATCACGCTCTCTGGTCACTGCTAGCCTGGGCACTGGGCAGTCACCTGGTGAGGCAGGCCCATGAGACCCTTGGCACTGACGGCTTCTCACTCTCTCGTGGCACCCCAGCCGCATTCCACCTGTTCCTCAGGAGGACCAGGGCTTGGCTTGGTTCTTTTTTGGGGGTTAATTCTCACCTGAGGATATTTTTTCCACTGATTTTTAGAAAGAATGGAAGGGAGGGAGGGAGGGAAGGAGAGAGAGAAACATCCATGTGAGAGAGACACATCGATGGGTTGCCTCTCGCATGACCCCAAATGGGGCCGGGAATTGAACCTGCAACCCAGGTACGTGCCCTTGACTGGGAATTGAACCCGTGACCTTTCGGTGCACAGGCGGATGCTCTAACCACTGAACCATAGCAGCCGGGGGCTTCCTCCCTGGGAGGGTCCAGGTAGGCAGAGCTCAGCCAGAGGCCGAGTATGGTCCGGATGGGGCCTTCTTGGCACTCTTGGGTCTGCAGCTGGGTGGTTGTCTGCCGGGGGCCGTCAGTGACCACAGCCGTCCTAGCCAGCAGGCACCTCCTGCCCCCTCTCTCCTGGGCGCATCACTGCCCTCCGCCTTGTCTGGAATGGGAAGGAGGTGGAGCTTGAGGAGAGGCTCTGCCCGTTGAGCAGTGCTGGGAAGGCCGCGGCCACCCGGGGGCTCGTGGCGGGTGGCGGGTGGCCTTACTGCACGCTATCATCATCATCATCAGTAGTTGGCATTGCTTCGGCGCCTTCTCTGTTTATACATCCATCTCACTTATTCTTGAAGGCCTAGGTCAGGGTCTCTCTTGGCTACTCATCCTTTTCCTGATCCTTCCAGGGACCAGCCTGGTGCCGGCACAAGGAGCAGCCAGACCGGGGCTGGGTCTGGAACTGCTCCATCTGGTACAGGGTCATGGATCTTTGTGGCTGGTGCCTGTCGTGTGGGGCAGTGCAGAGCAGAACCTGTCATCCCAGGGAGGTGTGCTGACCCGGGCCCCACAGCCTCCGAAGCATCCTCCCCGTGGCCTTGAGCAGCCGCCCGCTGTCTGAGTGCCGAGGCGGGAAGTTTGTGATTACACAGACGGGTTGCTGTGGCCCTTCCCACGCTCCCTTTCGGGCCGCCTTGCTCCCCTGGCAGGGTGGCTCGTTTCTCCGCAGTTCTTATCATCCAGGTGGGAGGGCAGGACAGGGATTGCCCAAACGGTACCTGTCGCTGCCCCTGCCCTGTTTCTCTGGCCCATCCTGCTGGGCAGGGAGTCCCAGAGTGATGTTCCCAGTTCACAGCTTTGGCAAGGACTGGGCCGGCCCCGTTGCCCCGAGCCCACTCCCGGGGTCCTGCAGAGCCCCAGGTGCTGCTCCCCTTGGGGCTCTGAACACACAGCCTTCTGCACCCCTCCCCCCGTTCCTTGTCCACGGCACCCTTCCCTCGGTCTGCGACCCGGGCTGCGTGTCCAGGCCCCAGGAACCCTTTTCTTTTTTTTTTTTTTTTATTATCCTCACCCGAGGACATTTTTCCATTTTTTGTTCAGGTAGAGTAGGAGGGGGAGAGAGGAACAGAGAGAGAGAGAAACATCGACGTGAAGGGACACATCGAGTGGCTGCCACCCACGCGACTGACCAGAGCCGGGGACAAACTGCAACCGAGGTACATGCCCTTAGCGGGAACCGAACCCGGGTCTCTCAGGACCGCAGGCCAACGCTCTAACCGCTGAGCCAAACCGGCCAGGGCCCAGGAACCCTTTTCTGACCCATCCCCCAGGGTGAGCTCTCTGGTCTTGGAAGGCCCTGGGCCTTGTGTTCGGGGCTCGGCTCCTTCCCTGCGGTTTGCCCCCGTGCTCACTCCTGTCGGCCAGGCGTCCGGCAGGTGTCTCACGGCAGGTGTCTCTGCTGGTCAGCTGCGAGGCAGCTCGGTGTGGTGCTGGACGGACACAGGGCAACAGGCCCCAGGCCTGCCTGGATGGCTCAAGCTGGCGAGAGGCCCATGGTTGGCCAGCCCCTCGCCCAGGCGGGACCTGGTGCCAGCCCAGCTCAGGGAAGTTTCCCCAGGAGGAGAGGCCGAAGGTGAAGGCCAGTCCTGACTTCGGGCTGCAGACGGGTCGGTGGGCAGGTCCAGAAGGTCTGTGTGGCAGGAGGGACCGGAGTGGCAGGGAGGGAGGGGCAGGAGTGTAGCACACTTTGCAAGAGGGAGTGAAGACTGCGGAAGGCTGAGAGGTGGTCTGGGGTCCCCACGGAGAGCTGGGTCTGAAGGGGAGGGCAGGCGGCAGGTACTCAGGCCATGGCTGTAGAGTGAACACGTGCTGAGTGGGTTCTGCATGTGAAGGGCTGGTGCAGGGCCTCTCCTTGCCCCTGGGGCAGAGGTGGGAGTCAGGACACCCCTGCCCTTTCGCAGCTGCCAAGACAGAGTTCCAGGGACAGGACAGATCCGCCAGGCGGGGCAGAGAGAACGAGGTCGCCCTGCAGGACCCGGAGCAGTTCTCTGTCCTCTATTTGCTGCTCCTGCATCCCACACGCCTTCCCTGGCTCCCGCTGTGGACCAGGGAGTCGCCACCCAGAGCCAGAGGGACACTGGCGGGCCGGGAGGGGCCAGGCTGGTATCCGTCGGTCGAGCTTTACTGGTTATGGAATTCTGCAACACCTCTGCCTGATTGACAAGCTGCTGTCTCGAGGCCCCGCCCACAGGCCCGGCCGTGGCCTCCTCCCTGCTTTCCTCCATCCCTCCATCCGGCAGTCTCCAGGCCCCTGCCACGGGCTGGTTCTCGGGCTGGTTCTCCTCACTTGCTACGGCATTGCTATTTGTGGTGTCATTCCTGCGCACATGGGTGATGACCTTGCTTTGAAGCGTCTGGTGTCCTGTCACTGACCGCTGGGCAGGCTGGGACTGAAGCTGCCCCCCAGGGTGCCTAGCACCTGCGAACCCACAGAGGGAGGCTGCCACTCAACCCACCTCCGTTTCCTCCCTGTCTCCCCGCAGGCAGCCATGAGCACCAGCCGCCCTGCGCCCCGGCCGCAGGCGCTGTCCAGGAGCTCTTCCAGCCTGCTGGGCGAAGGCCGGGGGCCGAGGCCGGAGCTCCGGAAGAGCGCCAGCAGCACCGGGTGGGAGGCCCAGCCGGGCGAGGCCGGCGCCGGCCCCCGGGCCCTGGAGGAAGAGGGGCACCAGGCTGAGCGCACGGAGCAGGCCCAGGCTTCCAGCCCTGGGCCGCCGCTGAGGGCTGCCGGCGGCTGGCGGAGCAGCACCGTGGGCAACGTGTCTGCCGTGGGGGGCGGAGACCTGGGCCGCCTGCGGGCCCCCAGCGCTGCGGCCGTGCAGAGGAGCCACTCGGACCTGGTCCGCACCCAGACCCGGGGTGGTGCGCGGAGGGCCAGCCTCAGCTGCTCGGCCCTTGGCAGCTCTCCGGTCCCCCGGGCTCGGCTGCAGCCTGGCGGTCCTTCTGGCCAGGGGGCTCGGGCCCCTGCCTGCCTGGAAACGGACCTGGCTCCAGAGGACGGGACTTCGAACTCAGCCTGGACGCTGGGAGAGAGCCAGGTGTGGGTGTCGCCGCTGGACCTGGAAACCACAGCCACCCACAGCTGCAGCCCCCAGGCCGGGCCCAAAGCCCCTGGGCAGTCGGCCGCCACCTCCTGCCATGCTCTGGCCCCAGCGGCTCTGCTCTGTGGTGCGAGGGAGGTGGGGGCCAGCAGCTACTGCCACGCCCTGCCTGCCCCTGGGATCCTGGCTTTCCCCAAGTTAGTAGCATCCGTGAGCGAGTCTGGGCTGCAGGCTCAGCGTGGGGTGAAGTTCCAGTGCAGGCTTCCTGGACACCCCCACTGCTGTGCCCATCCTTGGGGTCCCACTGAGGGAGCCGTGGAGCCGGGCGCCAGGACCAAGGACGTGTGGACCATGACCTCCGCCAGTGACTTGGCCCCGGGGTCGGCGTCCCCTCTGTCAGCCCAGGATGCCGGTGTACAGGTGGCCCCCGTGGCAGTGTGCAAGTCCGTGGCCACCAGCCCGCCCCTGGAGGCCCCTGTGGCCCTGCCCCCATTCCCGGAGGTCACCCTGGCGCCCGGCCTGGAGGAGGCGCCGTCCCCTGTGCGGGATGTGCGGTGGGATGCCGAGGGCATGACGTGGGAGGTGTACGGAGCGGCCGTGGACCCCGAGGTGCTGGGCGTGGCCATCCAGAAGCACCTGGAGATGCAGCTGGAGCTGCCGCGGGCACCTGCCAGCGAGGAGGGCCGGAGGGGGCCGCTGCGAGCCGTCATGCAGTCCCTGCGGCGGCCCAGCTGCTGCGGCTGCCCCGGCTCGGCCCCCGAGTGAGGACCTGTGGCCTCAGGGCTGTCCGGCCCCTGCGCTCAGCCCGCCAGGATGGGCGGGGGCCCGGCTCCGCGGTCCCGCGGCTGCGTGGACACGGCTGCGGGCGGCCAGAAGGCCCGGGCCGCCTCCTGGACCTCCACTGGCGGCTGTGCCGGCTGTGAGGGCTTGGTTCCAACGGGCACGTCTCACCCGGGCTCCGACCTGGAGGACAGTCTCAGCACTGTCCACGTGAGGTCCTGGTTTCCCGTGGAAGTGGTCAGTCACCTTGTTCAGCCTTCGGAACTGCCAAGGTCCCCCCAGAGTCGGTGGCTTTGTTTCAAAGCAGAGCTGAGGCATGGTGAACCCTTGATGTGAAATGTGGGGCCCCAGGAACGGGGGTTGCCCGGGTCTTCGGAGCAGGGAGCGGACACTGCCCATCGCCTCACCTTGGCGAGTCTCCGCCTCTTCGGCCCGCTGTCCAGATGGAACAGCCTTTGGCGAGGCTGTGGGACCCCCCGGGTTGGACGCAGGCGGAGGGCTGAGGCTCCGAGCGGGGTTGGCCGAGGCCCAGGCGGGGAGGCCATGTCCTGTGCCCGGTCCCGTGGGTGCCTCGGGAAATGAGACAGACTGCGCGTGCCCTCCCCGCGCTCGCCCTGTGCGCAAGGCCACCTCGGTACCCACGCGCTGAGCTTCCAGGAGGGCCACGGGGTGCTTCCACGAGCCGGCTCCCCTGTAGAAGCCGTGTCAGGGGTGGCCTCAGGAACAGAACTCCTGTCCCCAAATATGTTGCAGTGCCTGAAATTGTACCGTTATTACCTCATTCCTTTGGGTTAAAGATTTATTTTCAGCTGGTGCAGTTATTCAAAAAAGGACAGTTATGGGGGAGAAGGGCCTGGGGGGTCTCCCGCCCGGTGGGAAGTGGCAGAAGCTGTGCTGCTGTTTGCCCCCATCAGGCCGGGGTCCTGGCAGTGGGGTCACGGGAGTGGGGTCACGGGAGTGGGAGCCCAGGACCCCGGGGCTTGGCAAGCCTGACTTGCTCAAGGCTCCCCAGGCTGCAGAGGTTGGGAGTGGGCTGCGTCCTCGTCCTGAAGCTTTGTGTTGACAATCCGAGCTCCCGAGACAGCCTCCCAGCCCACCGTGAGGGAGCAGGTCACTGCGGGGCCACGGGCACGGGAGGGCGGAGGGCGGAGGCCTGGCCCACATGCAGCCTGCCCTGCTGAGACCCTGCCTGCCCCCCCCCCCCCGCCCCAGGGGCTCATGGGGGTGGAAATGACGGTGGGTTCGGGCTGAGGCAGGAGTGATGCTAACAGGCCCAGGAGCCGGGGGAGAGGGTTCCGGTCAGCGCCTTCGGGGCCCTCAGTGATCCCCACTTCCAGCTGGGCCTGGTAAATGCCACCCCTGCTTATAACTGACAGCGAATCAGAACCTCTTCTGCGGGTGGGCGGGGCAGGCAGGGTAGGTGTGAACGGCGGGAGGGGACTTGACCTTGCTCCCCCCTTTTAAAATGGGATCAGGCAGGTTTTCACGAAGTCCCGAGTCTCCAGAGCCTGGCCTGTGTGTGGTACAGGGGGGCACACGGGAACCCGGCTGACTTCACGCCCAGCCCTGCTCCTGGGGCCCCAGTCACCGGTGGGGCCAGACTGGAGAGAGCAGGTGGCTGTGGGGAGCTGGGGGAGGGGTGAGAGGAGCTGGGAGGGCGCCGGCCACAGGCCACAGGCCACAGGCCACAGCTGAGCGGAGCCTCAGGGCCTGGCGAGTTGCAGAGGGGGGAGTAGCAGACAGAGAACAGCCTGCGGGTTGCAGGTGCCCGTCCTGCCTGGGCTGCAGGGTGGCGGCAGTGCAGGCTGCTGGCTGAGTGGGGCTGGAGAGGTGGTCCCCACTGCGAGGCTGCTGGTGTGAAGGAGGAAAGGGGCCCAGGAGGCATGAAGGTGGCAGGGCCACCTGGTGGAATAGCCTGTTGGCTGCCATTGGAGACATGCGTGCGGGAGGCAGGCGCCCAGGGGCATGGAGACGTGGGAACCGAGGAGGGGCCTGTCACACGCACACTCATGCACACACATGCACACGCACAGGGTTTGCGGTGGATTCGAGGAGTTCCAGGATGCTAAGTTTTCCAGTTTGAGGAAAAGTAGGTGAGGCCGACACCTGGGACAGGCGGGAGGTTCGGGAGGGCAGGTGAAGGACCGCGTGCCGTGGGGCTTGTCTGGGACCAGAGAGGCGTTTCCTGGGGCGACTTCTGTGTCCCGAGCACGCCTCCCGAGGTCGCTGGCTGCTGTGTGCCAGTCTGCACCTCCAGGATGGCAGCGATCCCGGCCCTGCGGGAAAGGGAAGCTGAAGCTGCTACCCCCTCGTCTTGACCTAGATGCACCTCCGCAGGGTGGTGCCCCCGGGACACCGTCCTGGTTGCGCTCACTGCCTGAGACACAGGAAGTGTGCCCCGGCCTCGCCTCGCGGGCCAGGCTGAGATGAACTGTAGCTTCATTTCCGAATTTGCCCTGGAGACAAAGTGCCCTGCTCCCACCTCGTCCCTCCCCCGCGGGGCGGCCTGACCAGCAGCTTACTTCACAGGGCTCCTCTCAGACTCGGATCAGAGTTCTGGGTCCCCTTTAGGCCCTGCTCTGGGAGGTGGTGGGTTTCATGAACTGCACATTTGTTTTGAATTTGAAATAAAGTATTGGAGGTCAGAGCTTTGCCAGGGAAGGTCCTGGCAGGTCTTGCTTTTTCTGGTAGGTTCTGTCCTTTGGAGCATTCATCCCAGGCACTAGAGCTCCCTGCCCGGGCCAGAAGGCCCTCCTGCGTGCCCCGTCTCCTGCCTGGCGGCCTCTCAGGCCCCAACATCTTGAGCCTGGTTCCCTGGAGCTTGTCACCTCCAGGCCTGGCCAGCTCGCGTGCCTCTCTTGTCCAAAGCCCAGGCTGCTCTCGCCCTTGCAGGGACTCACTAGTCCACCCTCGGGGAAGCAGTTCCTGCCAGAGGGCAAGGTCCTGCTGGCCTGGGTCTGTGGGGTGGGGTCTCTGTCCCCTAGAAGTGCTGCATTCACAGGCCGCCAGCAGACATGCCTTCCCAATGCGGGTCCTGACACCTGGGTGGGACACACTTCAGCTTAGTGGCGTGAAGCCTGAATTTGAGTCCTGACACCTCTAGCCGTGAGATCTTCGGCGAGTTATTAACTTCGCTGAACCTCAACTTCTTCATCTGTGAGATGGGTATGAAATGATGCCTCCTCCTCGGGCTGGCTATGAAGATGGCATAACTGGAACGTGTCCGGCCTGAGTGAGAACACCGGGCGTGTGCTGGTGGCAGTGGGGTCTACTTCTGCCGCCGCAGGCAGGGGCCAGCTCTGGCCCACGTTTGGTCTTGCCCCTTCCTCATTCGGGGCTTCTTCCGGGCCCTTTGCCCTCTGCTGTGCATGCACCTTGCTTGGGACATGTGTGCTCTGGCCGCGGCCCTGTCTGTAGCTCCCCCCTGCTCACTGGTCTGGGGCTGGCTCCCTGGAAGCTCCAGGGTTCTGGGTGTCTGACGGAAGGGGGAGTGGACACAGAAGACGGGAGGGACGGAAGCCAAGCCCAGGGTGTGATTTCAGGAGGATTCCTGGCCTAGCTCAGGTCCCATGTCAGGGTGAGGACCACCTGGGGTGCGTGGAGTAGATTGCAGGTGCTTCTGGCTCTGCATGTAGGCTAGAAACTCCAGGAGCCCGGGCAGGTCTCTGCATGGGGGAGGGGTGCACAGAAACCATGGGCATCCACGGGGTCGGGGGCACACCTCCCAACAGCTGCATTCATGCCCTGAGGCCCCTCCCGGTGGCCTCTCATGGAGCCCAGGGCCCGCAGAGGCCCAGACCCTCTCTGAGTGGTTCTGAAGCTCATCTGCCTCATTTGTGCTCATGCCAAGGGACCCTGGTTGTTGAGATGCAGAGCTTTGCTGTGCCCATGTTGAACCCCTTCTCCTTCATCGTGTTGGCCGGGCCCAGTTTGTCCATCTGAAGCTGTGACTAACCCTGTATCAGTGCCTGTCCCGGGGTTGACCTGTCAGCACTGATCCCAGTGTCTCTATGAATCAACACAGTCATCACGGGTACATGTGTCTAAGGCCACTTCGCTGAAATCCAGATCTCGTCAGTAGCCCTCTCCTCACCCAAATCACAGCCCAGAGACCCTCCCTCCAAACAAGGAAGTGGGCGGGGCGGGAGAGAACACGAGGCGTGACCTGAGCGGGCGCTGCCATAGCTGTAAGAAATGTTGGTCACCCGCTCTGGTAACCGTGACCACTTTGTTCCGATTGAGGAAACTTGCACACCTGGGAGTTGCCCTCGGGAAGGCTGTCCACTCTCCTCGCCGAGAACTGCCCCCCTCGTGGGAAGACTCAGCCCTGGGAGGCGGGAGGCAGTGCGCTGGACAAGCCTTCGTGGCCCCGGCCCACGCCCAGCCCGCAGTACTTCCCAGGCCCGTGACCTGCAACGGTCTCACCCGCTGTCGTTCCTGTCTGCTGCCTGCCCTGCCCACATGGTCACCCAGCACGAGCGACGGCTGTCCGAGTACCCGCCGCTCTCCAGACTGCCGGCGACACGAATACACGCTCGTGTACGACTCCACCTGTCTCTGCCTCACTGACGCGCGGAGGGACAGGCAGCCCGGACCAGTTCCGTGTTCTGGCGACTCCGGTGGGACTGCGAGCGGTACCTTGTGGGGTGAGGACGGGGGTCCCACTGGCCGCCTCATTATTCGCAGCACTGCCAGGAGTGTGCGTGTTCTGAGTCCTGGCCACGGCCTCAGCAATTCCTGTCGTCCCTCCTGTAACGAGAGGCGTCGGTGTCCGTGGTCTGTGGCCTCCCATCTGGCATGAGCTCGATCAAGCCCTGGTGGCCAGTGACCTCTCTGGCCCTTGCCTGGTGACTGCGCCTGAGCCTGATGAACTCAGGGTAGAGAAACGGCCCTGCGTGGCACAGGGCATTCTGTCTGGCTCTCTGTTGGGCTGTGCCCGGTGAGCCCCAGACCATTGTCTGTCTGCTGTGTGCCCTGTAAACACT